AGTATTTTGCAAGTTTGAATATAAAAATTATCTCTCAAATAAAGGTAAATATTGATTAAAATAAAATAGACATTATGCTGATAATGACCCGTGAGATAAAAAAATTATTTGATGTGATATAAAATATATCTATATACAAATGTAAAATTTGAAATAATTTACTTAATTATAAAATGAGCAAATAATCATATAAATTTAATTGAATTAAATAATCATACAAAAAGAAAAAATGGAAATGTGAGATGGAGAAAGAAAAAAAAATTAATATTTAAAAATAAGGATTTTGCCTCTCAATTTAAGACAATAGTTGATTTAAATAAAATAGATATTGTGTTCATAGTGACCTGTTAGATAAATAAAATTTTAATTTTATTAAAATTAAAAAATAGATTATTAGTATTTTTAGTGATAATGAATAAATAAAGATAAAAAAATTAAAATGAAAGTAAGAAAGTGTGATAAAAAAATTAAAATGAAAGTAAGAAAGTGTGATAAAAAATGTGATAGAAATTCAAAATTTTAATCAAGAGAGAGAATAAGTGTATGTAGTATTTAATTGTGATTTAATTGATGAAGTTTAAAAAATGAATGTCATATGTCATGCTCTAATAGGACATGAGAATGAAAAAGTAAACATTATTTGATTACTTAAATTCTCTTTTTTATTGTGAAGAACTTGTACTAAAAGGACAATTTAGAATGTTCATGCAATTGATTTTTAATAAATAGATAGTAGATTAACTTTTTTTTTATTCATTAAATTAAATTTATTTATGGTAGACCAAATACTTCAATAAACTAATTTTTTTTAATATATTTTTATAATAATTATTAAAAACTTCCACATGTAATTATGAGAATTAAGTTAGAACTTTATGATGTGTTTGAATTGGTGGTATGAGATGAAATTGAATGAAATTGAGTCATAATTAATAAGATATATTGTGGAAAAAATTTTAAATTTTAATATTTAAATATTATAAAATTGCGATTTGAATTTTTTAATCGTGTGACTCGCCCGACAGTATATGTGACACTTTGATTGGTTAATATTTGTTGTTTCTCTCTTTTACACGCTACATGGATAAACATTGTCATGCATTTATCGATTTCTCAATAACATGCTATTTGTTATTATATTAGTGTGTATCTAGTGTGATGCACGATTAAGTTTGTTTTCGATTTGTTGTAGACAAAATTTGTGATAGTGATAAGTATATGTATAAAATGTAAATAAAAAATGGATTTCCAGCGTGTTACTAATATATTCTATTCATAATAACAATAAAAAATTTCAATAAGGCAATTCAAGGCATAACTCAAAGACAACTGTATGCATGTCACATGGCCCAATTTTACATTACATATTCACCAAACTCACATTTTATTTAATCTTCCAACACATTCTATTTTTGTTTAAAATATTGTTTGGTTTTACACCTATACGTAAAGAAACACCAAGTGCTCGTAATATTTTGATATTTGTAATATTTGGTGATTTTACACTATGCCTTTTGTGCTCCTATGATCATGCAATTCACTTCATTATGGTTATAATATGAACCAAAAATATCAAAATAAAACACAAACTATTACATAAGCAGGACACATTGATAACATTGCTAATATATATGATTACAACAAATTAAAAGAAACTACATGTGTCACTAATAACATGTAACATTACCTTTAAAATAAACATGTAATATTAGACAATAACTACACACTATATAGGATAAAGAGAGGTTTTTCATTGGAATTGCACATGCAATCTTGCAATAAATAAAAAAACCATGGTTAAAATATATACATATTATGAGAAATAATCTACAATGAACACGTGGTGTGTAAAGAATAGATAAAAAGAGTATAACTGTTAGGGGAGTTACTAGGAACATTGATACAAAGTTAAGAATTATGCACTTTTGTGAGAGGCACGCCATTTATCCACCTAAAATTTTAAGGTGGTAGGTGAGTGGATTCTCCTACTTATATATTATCAAGTCACCATATTCGTATTCAATGTAGGACTATTTCCCCACTTACTCACATTTGCATTATTATTCTAACACCCCCTCAAGTGTGAATCCATAATGCTCCCTCACATACACTTGTACCGTTGTTACCTCTTCTTAGACAACAAGACACCTCTTATTGGATATTTTGATACAAGTAATTTGTTTCTTTTCTCGAACCAAAGATTCATGATACCATTTGTGATACCATTTGTTAGGGAGCGTTACTAGGAGCATTAATACAAAGTTGAGGATTATACACCTTTGTGAGAGACATGTCACTTATCCACCTAAAACCTGAGGATTATGCACCTTTGTGAGAGACACAACACTTATCCACCTAAAACCTTAAGCTGATAGGTGAGTGAATTCTCCTACTTATATATACTCAAGTCACCACATTCCTATTCAATATGGAATTATTTCCACACTTACTCACACTTGCATTATTATTCTAACAACAACCAGAAATAGGTTTAGAAGAAATAATATAAATTAACATATTAACTACAAAAAAAACTCAACAAATAACTTTTCAAGGCTCTAAAACTCTTGTGGAACTATTTACCCAATGACAGAAAAAGACTCAATTTTCACTTTCATACTCCATGAGATGCTCATACCAAAGATCAATAACATTTGCATCCATTTGCAATTTCATATCCGCCCAAAGTTAAAACTTTCTACATACCAAGGTCAAATGCTCCATAAGTAGCCATCCAAGAGACAAAAGTCAACATAGTTATGCAATAACAAATACCTCAATTGAACTCCGAATCTTGAATAATAGTCGCACCAACAAAGGATGCAATTTTTCATATAACTTCATACTTTAGCACTAATTATGCAGTAAAAAAACAACTCAGTTTAGCTCTCGAACTAGCATGAGGACCCAAGTTAATTTAGATTATAAAAGAAAAAAACCCAACAATATTAACTTACCCTAATTCAACACTATCAACAAAGATTTTACTCGCATACTCCTACCTACATGAACTTATCCTCATATTACAGTTGGCTAAATGAAAGTGAAACTTACATTATGTGTACCCTTATTTTCGACAACACATAAAGCATGACTCACTGAAGGAATTTTGAAGTGGATGACTAAAGGTTCCATAATTTCTTGCTAGGGATAGCATGAGCACTAGTGAGAGTGAATAAATTGAGAACTACGTTTGCTTTGGGGAGTTATTTATATGGTGAAATTAGAGACAAAAATATATGTTTTTCATTTTAGAGAATACTGAAAAATAAGGAGATTCCTGCAAGTTTGTGGTATGACATACATTTTCATTTTCTGCAGAAATATATATGTTTTATTTGCTAATATCACTGTGGTATGACATACGTCTCCATTTCTTGCAAAAAAAATGTGAGCATCATATTATCATCTTAGAGAATAACTATTCTAAGAAGAAAAATGAGAGGAGGAGAGAATGTTGAATAACTCAAATTACATTTGGCTGACCAATATTTGGTCTAAAAATCATAGTTTTTCATAGAGTTAATATATAGAAAAGAAAGTGAATGCAAATCAATTGTGGAAATTTCAAGGAAAAACAAACTATAGTTGCTTAACGAAAATAAGACAGCTTTTCAAAGTTTCATAACAAAATTTACTTGGTAGTGATAAAGTTCGTATATTTTAAACAAAATGCTTGGGGAAAAAATTGTACTAAAACATGGTTAAAGAGGTACCACTGTTAGATTGAGATGGTCAACTCTAAAATCGAGAAAACTTGGTAAAGAGTTACAAAATATCCTGTGCAAAAATGACACATTCATAATCCTTAAAATACATAAGTAAGGATGTTTGTCTTGGTAGTGAGATGACAACAACAACAACAACAACAACAACAACAACAACAACAACAACAACAAAGATCGAGGGTGGTGGGAGGGGGAAGGGCAATGGTTGAAGCAGATATAAATGAGAGTAAAATCTAATGAGAAAAATGAAAAAGGTTGTGTGAAACTGAGATAGAGAAATGACTACTTTATATTACATCATCTCTTCTTATCATTTTTCTACACAAAGTCAAAGTCTACCATGTCAATTTATTCTCCTATATTCTTGTATGATATCAAACATTTACTCATTTTCAGGAATTAACAACATCAAACCTTAAAGAATATTATTATTTCTTCACCCATTTTTTCTTAAAAAAATTAGTGTTTCACCAAACTCATGTACCTAAGAAAAGTTATTGTCTGAACTCTTAAGAACCTAAAGAAAAATGCCAAGTTAGAAGACTATATCTTCAAAATTCATCTTATATGGTTAAGAACATTTCATATTATAAATTCCAAAGAGAAACATGTCCAAAACCAAGTCCATGAAATATTTCTATTGTATCTATCACAACCTAAGAAGCAGATGTTGTAAAACATTTGTCTTCTAATTCTTACCAAAACATGTGATGCTAAATTCCATATTTTTCGCATGGACATTTTATCAAACACCTACATTTCATTTTATCCTCATTACTAAATCTAGCCCCATTAAACTACCCACCCCCTAAATCAAGTAGTCTAACAACTAAAATTTCTATTGGGATAATAACCCACAACATTTGAATAGTTTGGCATTTAAATTAGCAAAATGAACAAATATTTCTAGCACATGAAATGCGCAGTGAACTGTAGTTATTATGCAAAAAAGCTATGAGAGGAAAAAGTAAACATGGAGAAGATAGAACTGGACCACCAAGAGTTGATGTGGTTAAGGCTTCTAAGGAATACCAAGAAGAGGATAATATATCAACAAGGGTGATACTAAAAAAATAGCAAGAAATAATAGGAAGAAGAGGGAGAAGTTGAATAACAAATAAACTGACATGTTGGGATCGCTGCACAAAACTTAAAGACGAAGTACAAAAATCCAGTCAAATTGAAATCAAAGTTGAATAACAAATAAACTCACTTGTTAGGATCGCTACACAAAGCTTGAAGATAAAGTACAAAAAACCAGTCAAATTGAAATCAAAGTTGAACAGCAAATAAACTCACTTGTTGGGATCGTTGCACATAGCTTGAAGATAAAGTACAAAAATCCAGTCAAATTGAAATCAAATAGAAAATAAAAAATTGTTAAACATAAGCATAAACAAAATGATTTGTGAAGAAAAATGGATGTGAGAAGTGGGAGAAGAATAAACTAATTTCATACCATGGAATCCGATCCAAATATGCAACTACAACTCTACAGGAGAATAAGGAAAAATTGAAGAAAGTGAAAAAAATGATACACTTGGATTTGTAAAATGGAAGCTTGTTATCAATTGTCATGTTCTTCTCCATAATCAATTGTACGAGGGAAATACCGAAAATTTACAAATTCTAAACTTTGTTGAAATGTGATCCAAAACGTGAGTTGTTATGTTCCAAATCTGACATATATATATATATATATATATATATATATATATATATATATATATATATATATATATATATATATATATATATATATATATATATATATATATATATATATAAAGCAGGAGGATTTTAAAATAAGAGATAAGAGGATTAAACCACTACACCAAAACTGCTTTAAGACAGCGCACCTTAGACATCGCTTCTGTATCAAAGCGCTGCTATATGTCTCGATAAAATTTAAAATTTTAAAACTATATACATCAGACAGCACTTTACAAAAAAGTGTTGCGTAAGGTTGATAAAAAATGCTGCCTTAGGTTCATTAAAGAAAGCGTTGTTATAGACCCAACAGAAGAAAGTGCTGCCATAGGCCCTAGGGCTGCTAAAGCCACACTTTAGTCAGTGCTTTTTAAAAGCGATGCCTAAGGTTAATTAAAACTGAAATAAAATAAATAAATTCTAGAAAGCGCTGCTAAATTCAAAGCGCTGCCATATGCCCAACAGTAGAAAGCGCTGCCGTAGGCCCAAAGCGCTGCTAAAGCCACACTTTCTAAAAGTGATGCCTAAGAATAATTAAAATTGAAATAAAATATTACAGTCTAGGTTTTGAGTCGTTACTTTATATTCTCCATTGTTCTTCTTCTGCAAAACAAAATTCCCAAATTCACGAAAAAACCTCAATCTCAAAAACCCTCAATCTACAAAACTCTCAATCTCAAACTCTCCATACGAACTTCCGCCGTTGATTCGTCGTTCTCCTTCCATACTCTTTTTCAATTCAATTTCCATGAACCTCATTGTTCACTGTTTACACCAGCCAACCTTCAATAACAACTCACGGCCAGACCTCAGTTCGGTTATCTCTCTCTGCACATCCTGTTCCAGTCCTAACCATACTTCCTCTGAGAATTTCCAGCACCAGCATCACTGTGTTACTTTATTTACCATTTATTTCCCATACAAACTTCTTTCGCTCGTTGATTTCTCAAACTCGAAGAAAATTTCACTGTTGATTTCCCTGTTTAGACGTTGCTGTCGTTGGTGTTCACATAACATGTCATTTCTTCTTCTTTTTATGTGTGTAAACTATTCCTTCTTTACAGTTTGAGACCTAACTCATTTTCTCACTATATACATATATATATATATATATATATATATATATACATTTTTTAATAAATGTGTTAAATTTTGTGTGAATTGAAGACTGAAATTGTGTGTAATGAAGCATAACTATCTCTCGGTCTTAACTGATAACTAATTCCTATTCCATACACAAAATTTTGACTGATTTAGTTTCTTGTTTTTCCCCTTTGAATACCATATAATATAAAATGTCGTGTGCTATTAATTACAAGATTGTCCTACAAAAGAAAATGGGTTAGCATCTTTTCACTCTTGTTTATAAGGTTCTATGACTATGAGAAGTTCAAGAATAATAATACTACCTTTTTCCGGCAGTGCATTGTTGAGTGAAAAACATGTTGTAAAAACAAGAAATTCGTAAGAGTTAGTACTCAATTCCATATAGCCTAGTTATCTTCTTTTTAACTAGTCTTCTAAGCATAGTCTTATGCTGCAATATAAAATTTTGAATATCTCTTCACTCTCACCGCAAAAAATGTTTATAAGAAAGGTCTAGTGTTGTAAACTCACCTATTGAATTTGATGTGGTAGAAGGAAAATCAATAACAAGACCATCAACAAATTCGTCTTTCGTTATAAATTATAGGTAATCAATAGTAGGATCATAGTTATAATCATAACTTGAAAAGAAATCATTAGCAAAACCAGAAGCATACACTTCTAGTCCTTTCTTACGTGCATCAGATACTAGGGTTATGAGAGGCCCCAAGTAACTGCAACAGAACAATCAATTTCAAAATAAGAACAGTGTTATAAAATGAGTACATGTGTTATTATTCATGTCAAGAGATAGTAAGAGAGATAGCCTGGGAATTCATTCAGATCCTTGTTGGAGATTTTCTACTTAGCATACCATCAACATTGAGTACTGGAGACAAGCCATCATAGAAACTCGGACGAGAAAAAGTAGCCCGATTCACCCCAACATAGGATAATATTAAGAACACAAACCTCAACTTTATAATAAAGAATCTCTTAGTTGAAGACTTACATGACACATTATGGTCAATTTGAGCAACAATGTAATTCACAGAGAAAGAGTGTTAGCACCTTCCTGTAACACTTAAACATGTAACAAAAGAAAAAAAAAACAATTTATTAGTCTCTTTGGTAGAAAGCTCCTTACACAAGCTCCTGTCTTTAGTTAACTCTAGTGGCAGAGCATGTGTCATAATCCAGACTTCTGAAAATAGTGAAGTATGCATTAGTTTCACTAGAAATAAAATATCACAACACATAGTCTCACTTGTTAATTCAAATTAGCTAAAGTTTCAAATACTTTTTTTAATTAAATTAAAGTTAAAAGAAAGCAATCATGTCAAAATTGTTAAGGAGTAATACTAATACGTATATCATTAAAGTATGAATTGAAGTAATTGAAGTAATTTGCTGTATAGATTGATGACTTTTCTAAACTTAAATTAGATATTCTATATTTTACTTCTTTTTCCCATAACTCTATATGTCCTGACAGTTTTTATCATATATATATATATATATATATATATATATATATATATATATATATATATATATATATATATATATATATATATATATATATATATATATATATATATATATATATATTGCTGCAGCGCATGAGGGATTGCATTGTCAACTTTAGTTTGATCCCACTGCAAATCTGGTCTATGCATGGGCTTATTTTAACTATTGATGTTGCACGCTTGTCTTTTGTTTCTCATGTCCAGGTATCTCATTTCAAATGATACTTCATTCCATTTGGTACAATAGAGTCTTCACTGCAAGAACTAGATAAAATAATTTTGGAAATTCTTTTATAATTTTCATGTAGAAAATGTAATTTTTCTGTTGAAAGTTGAGAAATTTTAGTGCCTAGATATTGATGTATAATGTGATTTTATTGACGTGTACATTCTTTAGGATTTTGTTGTAAATAAATTTCTAGATATTATTCCATAAATTGATTGATTAGTAATCTAATTGTGGTGTCTTGTGAATCAAATGTTGTAGACTTGTAGGTGTGTCATTTAATAATATTATAAAATGTTAATGTTAATTTCTAAATAAATAAATTAGTGTTCGTTTGGAAGTTTGGATTAAAGTTTGTAATAAGTATTTTTTTATTAAATTGAGTTTGTGATTTTAAGTTTATATATTTGAACAAAATACTTTTAACTTTGTACTAAGTTTTTTTTTTGTGTTGAATTAAAATCATCCATACATCAAGGGAGCAACTAAACATCTCAATCATATTGACACCAATAGGCACCTCTATCTTTTACCCATAGTTTATATATTAAATGAAAATAAAAACTAAAAAACTCTGAACAAAACAAAAGTAAAAACGAAAGCTAGAAAAAATGGTGACTTGAAAATTCAACTTATCTAAACAAATCAACCATTGTTAATTCAACTAATCACCATATATAACAAAGTTAGTATTCCACAAGTTGAATTGACACATATGTGTACTTGTCATTCCTTTTTCTAATCATTCATTTATATAGCTTCTCATTCCTTTTTTTCCCCAGTGTGATAAACGTTGGTCAAGAATATCTTTGCTAGGGGTTACTTATGATGAATGAAGTTCAGATTGTTTTCAAGAATTTTACAGTGTATGGTTCCAGAAATTGCTAACTTCTCTACAGGTAATTAGTTGTTCTTTTGCTATAGTTGTGTGAATAATTATAGTGTTTTTGTTTAACTTACTTAGTAGTAAAAACATGAATAAAAAATGGATGTCTGCCGATCGATTATCAAAAGAGTACGAGAATGGGGTATTAGAATTTGTTAAGTTTGTTATTGAACACGCCGAAAACCTCAGTCAAATGAAATATCCTTGCTTGGGTTGTTGTTATAGGGGTCAGGTGAAGTCACATTTACTGAGGTATGGAATTGATCAAAGTTAGACATGTTTGGATATTTCATGGTGAGAAAAGTAACTGAAATGTAGAACCGGGAGATAGTACGACATATGCTTTAGACGATAATGGAACAAATATATACGATTGCGATCGAGTCGAAGAGACTGCAGAAGCACTTGAAGAAGATCTTTAGGATTTTTCCCAAAATATTTAAGAGGTTGGTAAGCGATGCAGAGAAACCGTTGTATAAAGGTTGCATTAAATTCACAAGACTGTCTACTGTATTAAAGTTGTACAACTTAAAGGCGAGCAGTGGATGGTTGGATAAAAGTTTCACAGATTTATTAGTCCTTATGAAAGATATGCTTCCGGAGGATAATGTTCTTCCTAATTGAACTTATGAGGCCAAAAAAATATTTTTCTCTATTGGCATGAGTTATGATAAGATACATGCTTGTTCAAATGATTTCATTTTGTTTTAAAACAAATATGCATCGTTAAATGAGTGCCCTAAATGCGGTTTATCTCGATATAAGAAAAAATTATCTCCAGCAAAAGTCTTATGGTATTTTCTTATAATTCCAAGATTTATACGTATGTTTCATAGTGAACCGATGCAAGACACTTGACTTGGCATGCAGATGAAAGAATTATTGATGGAAAGTTTCGACATCCGACAGATTCACCATAATGGTCGAAAATTGATAATGATTATCCTGATTTTGGAGGAGAAGCAAGAAACCTTCGCTTAGCATTATCTACTGATGGAATGAACCTGCGTGGTCTTCAAAGTATCTCACATACCACATGGCTTGTGATTATTATGATTTATAACCTACCTCCATGGCTATGTATGAAGCGCAAGTATATGATGTTACTTATGTTAATTTTTGGGCCTAAACAACCAGGAAATGACATAGACAT